TGGAGGGAGCTGCCCTTTGATGCTTTGTGGCTGTTCCGGTCTGTTTAACCTCCTTTGTCTGTAAAGTCACATGAACATTGCTGCACGTGTGTGTGTCCATGAAGCCTCTGCCCGGATGGAGGTGGGGAGCTGCGCCCGAACCAGGACCCGCTCTCCTGCCCTCCCGCGTCACGGCCCCAGTGTCACCTGCATTCTGACCTGTAGTGTCCCAGACTAGTTTGTTCTCTGGGGGAAAGTTTACACAAATAGAGTTGTTTGTTATGTTTCCTTCTGCATTTGACAACTGTGTTCAAGTCTGCGCATGGGGTCACCCGTGCTGTTGTGGGGGCAGTAATCCACCCCTTTCCACTCTGTATATTATTCCTTTGTTTGCATGCACCGCAATATTTAGCCATTGGCTGTGGGACAATTGGACTGTCTGCTTTTGGCTCTTCTGAACACTACCGATGTGAATACTCAAGTGCATATATTTTGGTGGATCGAACACATGTCCTTGCAGTAATACCATTGTATTTGCTGGAACATCTTCTAAAATGTATATAAATTGTAGATTCTTCTGCCAAATAGTTTAACAAAGTTATATTCCCACCAACAATGTTTATGTGTCTAGATTTCCAGCTGTTTATATTTTAGCCATTCTCATGTGGTTGAAATAATATTTCATAAGGGCTTTTATTTGTGTCTTCAAAAAAAAAAACCAATAAAGCACATTCTTCTTTAAATACAGTTGCTGGCCGTTTACATACATTCTACATAAAACATGTTACATATGTTTTAACCACTTAAAAAAAAATTCGGCCCTGGCTGGTATGGCTCAGTGGATTGAGCATTGGCCTGTGAACCAAAGGGTCTCAGGTTCGATTCCCAGCCAGGGCACATGCCTGGGTTGCAGGCCAGGTCCCCAGTTGGGGGCATGAGAGAGGCAACCGCTCACTGATGTTTCTCTCCCTCTCTTTCTTCCTTTCTTCCCCTTTCTCTAGAAATAAATAAATAAAATCTTTTAAAACATTGGATTGTCAGCCTTTTATTTGTTGCTTTTGAAGGATTTTTGTTATGTGCTTTGGATATGGCTTCTAGACAAACACACATATATAGCTACCTGACATATAGGTATATATATGGATATATATAAAACAAATATATATATATGTGAGAGAGAATTGGGTGTCTTTTGAAAAATACAAGTTCTAATTTAATGAATTTTTAAAAGATCATTGTATAGTGTGAGTTTGGGTCTAGGTATATATTTTCCCGCCGTGGAGATATTCATATTCATTGTGAAGCCATCCATGCTTTATTATGAGTGTGTGCACACGTGTGGGGGTGTGCATACATGCACAAGTGTGTGAGTGTGTGTTTGTGTGACAATATCTTAACTATTAACCAAATTTCCTTTAATGGTTGTGGTACAAGTCTTGATTGGGTTTTGCTATTTCTAATTTTCTAGAAATGTTGTCAATTTTGTCTAAATTACCAACTCTACTGTCTAAAAATTTTTAATGCCTTTCAATTCTGGGTGCAGCTTTAGTTACATCCCCCCTTCCCATGGCTCACAGGCCTTATTTGTGCTTCCTCTATTACTTTGTTGACAAATTTTTTTCAAAGGTGATAAAACATTGGTAAACTTTCTTTTCCAAGAAAGTAATTCTGGGTTGTGTTGATCTTCTTGATTTTCTATTATCTTCTACTTTATTGATTTCTACTTTTATCTCTTTTCTTCTTCCCTCAGTTTTTCTCCCAACTTTTTGAGTGGATAATTAGCTCACTTTTAATCAGCATTTTCTCATATGACCACCTAAGACACTGAATTTCCTGGGCACACTGCTTGAGCTGTATCCCATAACTTTTGGCAGAAGTATATTTTTAATCAAGTACCAAAGAATTAAAATACCCAGGCAGAGCCGTGTGGCCGGGTCCCCCACGCGCAGAGATCGGCTGCCCTGGCACAGCCTCTCTTTGGGATTCGCTGCCCCAGCAGAGCCTGAGCCCTGGCGTCGCTGCAGCCCCCCGATGACTGGGACGGAGACGGACCCTGCATAGGTGGATGGGGGACAGTCGTCATCCAGTCCGGGACCAGCACCTCCCAGGAAGAGGGGATGTTTTCTTCTTTAAAAAATGTTTATTGAATGTATTGGGGTGACATTGGTTAATAAAATTACATAAGTTTCAAGTGTACATTCTCTAATACACCATCTGTATATTGTATTGTGTGTTCACCACCCAAAGTCAAGTCTCCTTTGTCACCGTTTATCCCCCTTTACCCTCTTCTACCTCCCCCCCCCCCCGTATGGTAATCACCATACTGTTGTCTGTGTCTATGAACTGTTTTTCTTTTTATTGTTGTTGTTTAATCCCTTCACCTTTTTCATCCAGCCTCCCAACCACCCTCCCCTCTGCCGCCTGTCAGCCTGTTTTCTGTCTCTATGAGTCTGTTTCTATTTTTGTTTGCTTCTTAGATTTCACATATAGTTGACTGCCTTATTTCACTTCGCATAACACTCTCTAGGTCCTTCTATGCTGTTGCAAAGGTAAGGTGTCTTTTTTTATGACCATGTAATATTCCATTGTGTAAATGTACCAGGTTTGTTTTTGTTTTTCACTCACCCACTGATGGACACTTGAGCTGCTTCTAAATCTTGGTGATTGTAAATAACGCTGCAATGAACATAGGGGTGCTTACGTTCTTTCGAATTAGTGTTTTAGGTTTGTCGGGAAACATTCCCAAAAGTGGGATTGCTGGGTCAAAAGGCAGACCCGTTTTTAATTTTTTGAGGTATCTCCATATTTCTTCTCACAGGGCTGCACCAGCCTGCGTTCCCACCAACAGTGCGCTAGGGTTCTCCTTTCTCCACATCCTCGCCCACACTTTTTGACTTATTGATGGTAGCGATTCTGACAGGTGTGAGATGGTATGTTATTGTGGTTTTAATTTGCAATTCTCCGACAATTAGTGACATTGAGCATCTTTTCATATGTGTTTTGGCCATCTGTATGTCTTATTTGTAGAAGTGTCTATTCAGGTCCTTGGCCCATTTTTTGATTGGTTTGGGGTTTGTGTGCGTGCGTGTGTGTGTGTGTGTGTGTGAGAGAGAGACACTTTCTGATGAATCTGTTAGACATGTGTCCCAGGGACTCACCTCCTCCACACTTAAGTCACACACGGTCCTGTCCATGCCTGGGCTGGAGAGGGACACGGACAGTGGTCTGGGCAGGTCAGGCAGGAGCCAGGCAGCACTTGGGGCCAGGCTGGGGCAAAGTCACCTCCCCTTGGGCAGTGTCCTCAGGACATGCCCTTGTAGGGGGATCTGTCAGGTCCCCTAATGGACCCCATGCAGCCACATCCCTTAGACCTCACTGTCCCCATCACCCTCAAGATGTGGAGGCAGCCTTCTCGGATTTCCCTTTCCCCTCCCTTTGCTCCTGTCCATTCCTCAGGCCAGGTCCTACCCTGTCCCCAGGCCTCCCTCTGTCCCACTGAGCACCTTCCATAGCCACCTCCCTGCATTTAAACCTCTCAACCTCATGCTGCCTCCCTGAGAGCCTTCCTCGGAGATGTGATCAGACTGCTGGTCCTCTCCGAGGAGGCCTGGGGGACAGAGTGAGAGCTCAGTCACCGGTCACCTGCGGCGGTAGGAACAGTGGGTGCTCCTCTCCTGGAGTCCCCAGCCCTGTCTCTTCCCTGGATGAGGTCCCTCAGCTGGGCTGTGGGGCAGGACCCACCCCTGTGCTCAGTCTGGGGACGCTGAGGTGGGCCATGCACTCGTGCCGACAGGTGTGGAGAGAAGGCCTGGAGCTCACTGGGGTGACCGAGCAGTGAGGGAAGCGGCGGCCTGCGGAGTAGAGAGAAGGTCAGGCCCTCTGCTCAGGCCTGTGGAGCTGGGCCTGGGTGTTGTGTCGTGGGTGAGGGCGGCCCCCGGGGTTGGGCAGCCTGTGCCCACTTGTGCTCAGCCATCCACACAGAGTCAGGAAGAGCATAGGGGCAGCTTCCTTCCAATTGGGGTTCAGGGCTGCGCAGCTCACCGAGCCCCAGGGGAGAGGGAGATCCTGGACGGAGAGCCTCCTGCGCCTTGGGAGGCAGAGGGGAAGAACAAGGTCAGGTCCCACGTGGCCAGCCTGTGGCTGCCCCCTGCAGGGACGCCTGGGTATCCAGGGGCTTAGTGGGGTGGAAGCCATTCCCTGGAGGCTGGGGGTAGGGGTTGCTCACTTAGGTGGGCAAAGCCTGCAGGGGCTGGTACAGGCATGGAAGGTGTGGCATGTTCCAGGACTTTGGGGTTCGCCTCTAGCTCGAGTCAGCCTGGGCGGATGTTCCCCAGGAGCAGGTGCGCCTCGGTTCATCTTTCTGTGCCGATGGTGGAACCTCATGTGGGAGAAAGATCTTGTCCCGCATGAGCCCCTCGATCAGCCCAGGGGCTCCCTGCCCCCACAGAAGACTCGTGTCCCCGATTCACACATTGCCCTTCAGGAAGTGCCACCAGGCGGGCGGAGGTTGGGCGAGGCCTGCAGTTGGGGGCGGAACCTGCCTGGAGACGGCCCGTCACCCGGGGTGCACCCCGTCCCAGGGTCTCAGATGGAGACGTGGGCTCTCTGATACCTTCTCTCCCACCTCCGAGCAGGACGGCGAGAGCAGACTGCTTGGCGTCGACTGCATTTCTCCTCAGTGTGACCCCCTGCACGTGGTCCTCCTATCAATTCCTGTCGTCCATGCCAGAGTCCAGGCGCCATCCACACGTCGCCCCAGAGAAGGGACAGAGCTCGCACTCCTGTGAGCTCATCATATGCCCCCACTGGCCACCACACGCCCACCGCCCGTCCTCTAAGGGTCGCAGCGTTGGTGTTGTTTCCACTGTGGAGATGGTGCAACTGAGACCAACCAGAGCTGGGGTCTGGAGCGGATGCGACCTTAAGTTAACAATGATGGCAATGTCAGTTCATATTTTTAAGCATTTATTGACTCAGTGCAAGTCTTCTAAGGACTTTCCACCATCATCATTGACTATTCACAGGAAAACTATTTAGAAACCTCATCATAACCATCATTTTCAGGGAAGAAAAAATTTATTCAGAGTTTAACAACACAGAGGAGGGGACAAGGGATGCTCATAGTTCACATCCAGCCTGAGGGGTCGTTTTTGCTGGAGCTGGCGGGTCGGAGGCCTCACACCGATGTAACCAGCGTCCTCCCTCCCGACAGGGTCCATGGTGAGGTGCTGCTGCCCCGGGACGGCGCCATCCTCTCCGTAGGCCATAGACTCTGGTTACCACCAGATGAAAACCCCAGTGTCATCTGTGAGACAGGACAGGACCACAGTGTCCCTATGCTCTGTGACGGCGGTGTCGCTGGCTCGGATGGAGGGCTTCCCCACGGGCTCTGTGGAGGAACAGAGGTGGTCAGTGACTGAGAGCGGGCTCCTTCCTCAGAGGTCTCAGCCACTCACTGTCCTCAGTGAGCTCTGTGGACGTCACCGAAGGATGGCCCTCATCTCTGCAGAAGGACAAGTGTCTTTGTTAAGGTGACAACGTGTACGGAGAGGGCTGCAACTTCTCTCTGACCCCGGGCCCCCGGGGTGAGCCCTGACCTGTCCTCATGGACATCTCTGTCATGTCAGCACCGGGAACCTCCTTTCAGCCCATGTGTCCTGCAACCTCATGCTCAGGTGGAACTTTTTTCTTCCAAATTTTTTGCCCCTTTCCTAAAACTCTTAGAATTCAAGAGAGATCAGCTCTTGCACCTCCTGTAAACTTCATGCACGTTGCGGAAGGCAGGCTTGACAATTCTGTCCATTCCTGGGGCCAAAGAAACTTTTCTGAAAGTGGGAAGGCATCTACTTCTTGTTAAATAATTTACTAGACAATATAAACAGCCCAACCCAGTCTTTATGATCTTGGACCTGGAGAGGTTTCATCTCCAGGATTTTTCAATATGAACAGGACTTTACTCCCTGGTCTGTGGGTTGAATATCACGATGAAGGAAATCTCTAAAGAGAAGTGGTTACTGTTTTAACAAAAAATAGGAACTGTAGGAAGAGAAAGAAACTGCTCAGCATGGTAAAGGCCACACGTGAAAGCCCACAGCTGACACAAGACTCCACGGAGAAACTCTGAAAACATTACTGAGATTGTGAACAAGGCACAAATGCTGCTTGCACTATTTCTATTCACCGTAGTACTGAAAGTTTGGCCAGAACAATCAGGCAAGAGGATGAAATAAAAGGCATATGAATTGGAAAGGAAGAAGAAAAGTGATATCTTTTAACAGATGACATAATTTTATATGTAGAAAACTCTAAATATTCCACATACAGAAAAAAGAAAAACTGTTAGAACTAATGAATTCAGTGAAGTCTCAGGAGAAAAAATATCAACAGCATCATCTTCGTTTCTTTACAAAAACCATGACCAATCCCAAAACAGAATTAAGAAAAAACAATTTCATTTACAACAGTATCAGAAAGAAGAGAATACTTAGCAATAAACTTAAACAAGGAGGTGGAAGATGTATATACTGAAAACTATGTTTCTGAAAGAAAGTAAAGAAACAAATAAAGGAAAAGACACACATGTTCATAGATGAAAGACCTAATATTGTTAGAATGTCACTATATCCCAAAATATCTACATATTTGATATGATCCTTATTGAAATCCCAATGACATTTTTGCATAAATAGAAAAATCCATCCTAGAATTCATATGAAATTTTAAGGGACCCCAAATTGGTGTGACAGTCTTAAAGAAGAGCAAATCTGGAGGTCTCACGCTTCCTAATTACCTAAAACTCACTACCAAGTAACCAAAATATTGCGGCAGTGGCATAACGACAGATAAATAGACTATGGAATACAGGAGGGACTCAGAAATAGAGCCTCCATGACATGAGCAAATGGTTTCAACAAAGAAGCCAACACCATTCAATGGAGAAAGGACAGTCTTTTCAACAAATGGTGATGAACAACAATATCCATTACAAACACACAAAGTGGACTGTTGTCTTACACTGTACACACAAATTAACTCAAAATAGATTTAATGCTAAAGGCAAGACCTAAAATTATAAATCTCAGAAGACAACGTAAGGAGAAGCTTAATGACATTGGATTTGGCCATGATTTCTTGAATATGACACTAAGAGCACAGGCCAAAAAAAGAAAAGATTGAACTTTGCAAAAATGAAAACTGTTCATCAAAGGACACAGTCAGCAGAGTGAAAGGTGACCTATGGAATGGGAGAAATACTTTGTAAATGATATATAGGATGAGGGGGTTACTATCCAGAATAGAGAAAGAACTACAACTCAACAACAACAAAACCAAATAGCCAGGGTGAAAAATGGGGAAAGTTCTTGAACAGGCATTTCTCCAAAGAAGCTGTAAAAATGGCAAATAAGCACACAAAAAGATGTTCAACATCGCTATCAAAGCTCTCAGGGCCAGAGTTGTTGCTTGTGATGTGGAGGGCGGGTAACTCCGCTGTGCAGATAGCGGAGAGGACATTGCCCTGTGTTGCACCTTTGATTTCTCCAACGGCTTCTTCAATCACAGCTGGCACCTCTCACCTCTCGGCCAACTTGAGTCCTTAAAAGAATAAGGCAGGTCTGTGTATCTCTGGACAAATGCATGAGCATCTGAGCACTCAGAGAACAAAAGGCCTTCAGCTCTGTGGCTGGGAGAAAGCACAGGCTTTCTCAGGTGTCAGCTAAGTATCAGGGTGTGAGCATCGGAAGACAGAGGCCTGGGAGCCAGCGACCACACGCAGCTCTCCTGGTTCCTCACTGACCAGCTGACTGCCTGGCCGAACAGGGGCCGTTCCTTCCAGTGGCACAGCCCTCCATCACCCAGCCGAGGCGCGTTCCTATGAGGCACCATTTCCCAGGCCTGGGGTTCGAGCAGAAAATATACACAGGGACCGTGAGCAAGCTGGTTGCCCACCGATGATTCAGGCCCCTGGGCCAAGAGGTGGGTCAGATCTTCCCAGGTGGGTGTGACTGACATGAGCCAGTGAGCCAATAAATGATAGAGCAGAGTCCACGGAATAGTCTAGAAAAGAATGAGGTGAACAAGCAGGAGCTGACTGTGCAGCAGAGCCACGGTCTCTGCGCTTGGTCATTGAAGTCTTTCTCCCTGCGCTGCGGGCAGGTGGGGACTTGTGCAAGTGCGGGAGGGTGACAGAGGGCAAGTGGCGAACGTGAACCTGCTGAGATTCTGGCTCCTGCAGACCATTTATTTTTGGTGGCCATGAGACAGAAATATGGAAAGAAGTTAAAATTTTCCCCTATGTGAATGTATTACCAATACCCCAGGGCCTAGGACCAACTGCAGGAAGCAGTATTTCTCTTGAGAGCGGCAAGGGGTCTGAGACAGGGGTCTCAGCCCTCAAGAAACAGGGAGCCTGGCCCCATGGCCAGAATTCCCACGGCTCTGCATCCGGACTCCAGTCTCTAAAGAGATTTTGGACCATTCGCTCCTTCACCATTCACTCCTTCCCTCCTTCATGACAGAGCCATTGAGTGCTGGTCCCTGAGCTGGCTGCGGGTGTGGGGTGGGGAGTGAGAAGGCAAAGTCCTTTCCTTCATATCTAGTGGGAGTGACACAAACACATCGGGGGGAAAAATAAGTGATTTCGAGCCCAGTGCGGGGAGGTGTGGATCGGCCACTGAGGGGGAGGCCTGGGCATTCCCAGCACTGACTGATTGTTACTGCAGGTAATTTGCTTCTAGAAAAACACAGATTAATTCTCCATTTCCTTTCACTCTCCAGACCAGAATCTCTCCCTCTGAGTGAGGACACCTATGAAGACAGGGGCTGAACCAATGGTTGGTCTAGGGATCCACAGACACCGAGTAAGGCCCCCAGGACAGAAGACAGACCTCAAGTGACTCTGATGAGCTTCTCCTGGTCTGTGTGACTCTGCCTTAGTGACTGCATCTCCCCGGGCCTCAGTTTCTCCTCAGAGGATGAATATTTGTCTGTGAGGTCGTCAGTATATTAACAGTAAAATATTCACAGTATCGGACCTAAATCTTGGGATGGGGCGCTGCTCAAGTCAGAGGCGCCTGTAGCCGATCGACTCCGAGAGAGAACCCCCCGGGCTGAGCCCGGGTGGACGAGGAGCTGCCTGGAGCCTCTTCTCTCCTCTGTTTCTCCCTGAAGACACTGACCTTCCTCTAAACTCTCCTAAGTCCCCCACGGCAGTCCACAAATGGCCTGGTCACCCTGTCCACCTGTGCTCTCCACACAGTCTCCGGTGAAGGACCAGGCTCCATCCCGGCCCAGATGTGGCTCTTGGGGTGAGCCCTGGCTGGTGACCAGCTCGACGGCCCTGCGGCCCAGGCAGCTGGGAAGTCATTGCTCCCAGGCAGCCCTGCCCACAGACCAAACCCAACCTGACACAGGCCTCCAGGAGCCCTGGACCAAAGGTCTAGGGAGGGGCTGACGAGGCTGAGCTTCTCAGTGAGGATCCCAGGGGCCCCTCCGTCCAGGCCCTGGCTGAGCCCTGCAGGGTCTGTCTTAGGGCCATGGCCCTGGGTAGAAGCCCAGGGGGCTGGAATGAGACTGGTCTCCCTCTGCTGAGTTACTGCCATCAGACTGGCCCTCCTCTCTCAGGTGAATGTCTCTGCTGGGCTGGAATCTGGGAAGTACACTCTGATCTCAGGGAGTTTGTCTCTGCTGTGTGTGTCCTGCACAAAATACCCAAACGCAGCCCGGGACGTGATGCAGAGGGGGATGGAGGCAGAGTCCAGGGCTGCCAGTCCTGTGTGTGAAGCAGAATTCACCCCACCCGATACCCAGAGCTCAGATAGCGATCACTCACAGTATACGTGGAGCTGTCCAGTTGCTCTGTCACCTTGAAAATTTCTCTTTATGGCTAGTAGAGTGTAGTATTCTGTGTCCTCCAAGGTGACATTCTGGAACAGCAGGGATCCATTGGGGTATATTGTCTGTCGGCCACTGTATGCAGGGCCTGGGTGTATTTCTTGAGTCTCTATTACATATGATGCAATATGATGGTTGCTGTCCGTGCTCTCCCCTTTGAACCAGACATAACCTGCAAGGAACTCTGGCCGATTGTGGACGAGGAGAAGGACATCCTGCCCCACAGTAGCATTGGTCGAAACAACAGTGAGCTGGGCAGTGGTGGGCGGGCTCCAGAGGGTTAAGAGTGAGACTAGGAGGGAAGAGAGAAATTGATCAATATTTGGGTCTCTTTATGGGGATGGAAAGGTGAGGCCCTGGGTCCTAAGCAGGTCTCTTCATCTCTCAGCCTTGGTCTGTGTGAGTGTGTGTGAGGGTGTGTCTCCCATGGTCAAGGTCAGCACCTCTGGACCTGTTACTTTTTCTGTTTCACATGTTCTTCCCCAGGTGCCTGCCCAGGTCACCCCCTCACTGCCCTCATCCCCTGCTGACACTCAGAGGTGTCCTTGGGAGACACCTTCACTGACCACCTCTTCTAAAGACCCTGTCGTCACTTTCTGACCTGTGCCTTCTCTGTTTTCTTCACAAAGCTTGTGGGTACCTGACATCACACCTAGATCTCTCCTTGTCCCTCTCCTCCCCATAGAACATGAGCTCCATGGGGGCGGGAGCTCGTCTGACCTTGTACCCCCAGTGCCTGCAACAGGCTGCAAGTACCTGCCAGTGAATGAGTGTCCCCAGGGTCCTGCACTTTCTGGGGGTGTATTTGCCCATACCTGAGGTTTGGTAAGGACAATGTTTAGCACCCCTCATTACGTTCCCCACCCCTGACATAACTTGTGATTACTGTCATCAGTTTCTAAAACTTATTGTTCAGAAATTATTAACTTTAAAAACATAGAGCAATCAAGCTTTTCCCGCCCCTCACCGCTTTCAGATCATGAGAATTTCCTGTTGCTGAGCCCCCTCCCCATCCTACTCTGTCCTCTGCCCTCCCCCTCAGGTCCAAGCAGCAGCCCCCTGGCCGTCTCAGAGCGCTGTCCTCCCCAGGGGACTCAGCCAATCTCTATCTCCCATCCTCCCCCAGGGATTGTCCCCTTTTTACCCGCCAGCAGGAGCCACTGCCAAGGGACACGCCCTGAAGGGGATTCCATGGTGTCTGCTGCCTGCTCTGTCCTCCCTCTGCGAGAAGAGCTTCAGCTCCAGAACCGCTGCAGGCACCTCAGTCCTGAAGCCCGGGACTTGCCGTCCTTCCTCCCAGGGCGCTGTCTCCTCCCGGGGCAGGAGCGCTTCCACAGTCACGTGGGGGGGCGGGTCTCTGCCGGGACCCTCCTCCTCCCTCCTCTCTCACTCCTGAGTCTCCTATCCCCTTTCCGTCAACATTTCTGTTCCCTGGGAACGGCTGAGGCATCGGCTCCTTTAGCTGTGATTCTCCCCCCACACCCACACCCACACGGGACAAGCACAAGCCTGTGCTGTCCGGGTTCCAGGCGACCTCCATAGCCTTCTCTCATCACTTGGGACTTTCCCCCTCAGAACAGGAACCTGGGGTCACGTCAGGAATTCTTGTCACAGGGAAGTCACTCCCATTGTGCATCAGAATCACCTGTGAAACTTTGTAAAGCTTGGGGTGCCCAGGTGATACCTTGGAAATGCTGCTTCGGCTGTCCAGCCAACGTGAATGGCAGGCCAGGCTAACGCCCTGTGAAGTGGGGGCAGAGAGGGCACGTCTCCAGATTTTATTCAAAGGCAGATTCTGACTCGGCAGGCGTGCGGCGGCCCCGAGAGTTTGCACACCACCCTGGCCTCTGCCGTGCAGCGACCGTGGGTCTGCCGTGAAGAGAGAGACCCAGGGGTCCCCAATCCTGGAGGTTACTTCCACTTTGGACACAGGAACCCAGCTGGGGCTCCGAGGCTTTCCCACGCTCTCCGGTGTTTTGGGAAGGCTGAAGATCCTGTAGGGTGAGAAAGGGGAAGCTGAATAACATCGGGTGAGGGGACTCACTTGCCCTATCCAGGCGTCACCAGCCTGGCCTCTGCTTCCAGGACAGAACGTCTCAGGAAAACCTGCAGTCCCCGAGTGTGAAGGGGGAGGCGTCCTGTGTGTCCTGGGAGGTGAAGACTGGGTTTGTGGTCAGGTGGCTGTGGGCACCATGGCCCTCAGATTCCAGGTTTCGGGGAGACCTTCCTTCCCCGTGGCTTTTGGCTGCTCTGTGTCGCAGAGCCTGTCCATGTGCTCCCTGCAGTTCGGCGCAGCCTCTGTCCTGTGCCCTGGGGGACTTTCCTGCGGTCACTTGCCTTCCCCATGGGTGATGCCCGGCAGGGAGTGGGGAGCAGCACTGTGGCTTCTACAGAGCAAGAGTGGGTGGAACAGAGCAAGCACTAGGGAGGGGCCCAGAAAGATCTGTCTATAGAAATTAGGCGCTTGTTCCACCTCCTTGGCCAAAGCCAGGTTTTGTCTCAATGTCTCCCCCTAGAGGGCACAAGGAGACCTGCAGCCAATGTCAGGGGCTGCACCAGGGACGCTGACCAGGCTCGAGTGTGAGCAGACCCTGAGCCCTGGGCAGAGAGGTGGGCTGACCTCCAGACTGAGTGAACAGTCGCCCCGGGTCCTGGCCACTGTGGGTCCCATGCTGCTCGACTCCATCCCAGGGCAGGGCAAGCCCAGTGAGAGGACAGGCACTGTCCAAAGGAATCGTGATCTAATATCAGAACTGTCTCCAGGGGTACTTGCTGTTTCAGGAGCTCCTTGTCCCCCAAATTTCAAAAGGGCCTGTTGACAGGTATCATGAGGCTTACAGGGGAGGTGCCAGCCTGGACGGCTGATCCCCACAATGCCCTGTGCCCCCATCACAGCATTAGAGTGTTACATCCAGGTCATCCGTGTCCCTGTCACCTGCTCTAAGTCTCCCCACAGGCCCCAGGAGCTGGAGCAGCTTCACATGGAGATTGTCAGGAGACCCTATAGGTTCCTCTGTTAGGGGAGGGGAAGCCCCCGTAAGACCCTAAGACCCTCAGCCCCTCTGAAATGGAAGCAACCACGGATCTTGGGCCCTCCTGTCCCCTCCTGCATGGGAAATTCTCCTTGTTCCCCAGGACACCGTGGGCTGGTGAGAGGTTTTCAGGGACCACAGGCAGGTGTCCCCCAGACCAGGGACCATGGGGACAGGGGGTAATCCCCTGATTCCTTTGAGGTCAGGATGGGCTTCTTTCTTCCCTGGTAGTAGCTCCTCCTGAGGTGGAGGATCCAGTTTCTGCCAGGTCAGGTGGGAAGAGGAAGGACATAGGCTGCTCACAGGCCCCGGGGAGACGAGATGTCGCTCACAAGGTGGGGACGGGGAAGGCTGTGATCTTTGGAGAATGAATGGAGTGAGGATGTTTCAGGACCTCGAATGCCAGGTCTTTGAGTCACTAAACTCAGTACAAGATAAAGCAGACAGAGTTTTTTGAAAAGAGCCTGTGCATAACAGAGCAAACCAGAAAACAGAAGTCGCGCTCCCCAAGGGGTTCTTTGAATGGCTTGTACAGGGGCCGTGGGGAGGGTGGAAGGCTTGGGCTGAGGAGGGTGCCAGCTGTCCCATGACTCACCTGGTGGCAGCTGATCGTGGGGTAGTCACAAGATGTTTTCCACAGTCTCAAAGGGCCTCTGCAATAATGCTTGCAGAAACATTCTAGTTTCTATTTAATTGACAAGGAACTATTTTCCAAAACATGTTGTTAAGAAAGGATATTATCCTACATTTTTTCTTTTAAGGATGTTAGGTTAATTTCAACTACGGAATTTTGCTAACAGCAAGGAGTCATAGCCAGGCCTCCAGAAGATGGACTTCTTTTGGTCAAGAAGAAATCCAGACGTTACCCCTATACTGTCCCAAGACCCCTTACTGTTAGGAGACCCTGTACTCCCTCCTGATTGGACAAGGGGCCAGGCTCATCCCTGGGACAGCCATGGGCACATGCTGGCTTCCTCCCGTGCTGACACCGGTGGCCTTGTGTCTATAAGAAACATGCTCTGACCCCAAGTGCCACACGGGGTGACAGGCTTCCCTTGTGAAGTTTCCCTCAGCCATTTAACCGCGTCTATTAAGCATCTGTGGGGTGCAGACAGGCAGAGCTGGGTATGGGGTTTGGCTGCTCTCTCATCCTCCTAGACACTGTCACTGGAGGGAGGCTCCTGTTCAGGGTCCCTGCCTGGGCACAAGGACTGGACCTCCTCATCTGCCACCAGCAGTTAAGCTCAGATGCCAGCGCCTTGGCTCTGCCTCCTACTCTCACTGGTTTCCTGGCCAACCTCGCATCCCGCTTTGCCCTGCCCAAGGCCTGGCACAGGGTACTGGTCCTCACAATGCCAAGCGAGCAAACCCTGTACCTCAGGTAACCCTTCTGGCCTGGAGGGAAGAGCCCAGTGATGGGATGCGGGCCCTGTAGTGGGAAAGCAACCAAATTTGGTGACTGCCACCTGTGGGGACCTGGTGCAACCAATTCAGCAGCAACAGGGCGGGTGTTCCTGGGGTCGAGGAGAACCTGAGGCTGGAAGTGTCTGGGCGCGCCCAGGATCTGCCACGAGGTCTGAGCGCATGCGCATTGGTTCCTTTGAGTAGGGACTGGCCTTCAGGGGCTTCTCGTTGCTGGGGAGGCCACCTAATGGTCGCATGGAGCCACAAACAGCGAGGCCCAACCTACCAATCAGTGCCCTGGGGCCATCCAGGCACAGGGAAAGCCTCCAGGACTCCTGCTGTCTTGAGGACCAGGGGACTCAGGCCTCGGGTTGTCCTGCTACTGTCCTTAGGCAGTAGGATCTGGGTAAGGGCCAGGGAGCTGCCTCTGGTTTTGTAGGTGAGGTTTAAGGGGGAAAAGAGTATTAATTTCTTCTAGGTCTCAAAACTGTGGGTAGCATGCTAACACTTTTTTTTGCGGGGTGGGGTGTAAAAAGCCTGTTACAAAAAATACTTATCCTATGACCCATTTCTGTACATATTACAATGTATTGTAAAACTACATGATATATTAGTTACATATACAAACAAGGAAAAAATATCAGATAGACCCTCCCCCTACAGGAGAGCAGTTATCGGGGGAGGGGGCTGGGAAGAGGAGGGAAGGGGTGAGGAGGTGGTGGGGTTTGAGTTTATGTAATATTTGCTTCTTCTCTTGAAAGGGAGATCTGAGCAACCATCTAAAATGTTCACATCTGTGAGATCTTGGAGGCGAGCAAACGGATGACTGATATAATATTTTGTGTAAGTAGGAAATGTTTCATGATTAAAAGGAAATACATATACAACATCACTCCATGTCAAAAAGTCTAATTCTCTCGTCTTAAACCCATCTGCTGGCTACAGGGTCCTTCCCTAAATAGATAAAACATGCTGGAAAAAACAAATGATGACATAAATTGTTTCCATTCTTTAAATTGTAAAAGATGTCAGCAGAGCCATTCTCTTATGTATATATTTGCACATTTGTCTTACTCTTTCAATAGATCAAATTAGTAAACATGAGAATTTCTCAAAAAATGAACACATTTTAAATTTGGCTAATATACTAGCTTGTTTCTCTTAAAAAGTTTGATTTTTGCCTGTGATGCACAGCATTAACTAACCTCACCAGTCTGTGCTGAGGGATAAAGGGAATTAAATAAAACAATGTATATAAAATACTGGGTACAGTGTCTGGTATATAGTATGAGGTCAATAAAGGGCAGCTCTTATTATTACTGGCAAGTGGATTTAAAGTCAGAAGACTTAAAGCTAGAAGATTGTGATAATTTAAAAATCAATGCATACACCTACCAGGCTAAAGTTAAAAAATGGTGCTAACACCAGATGTTGGCAAGAATGCAAATTATTCATACATTGCTGGTAGAAATATAAAATGGTACAGCCATTCTGGAAAAGTTTGGCAGTTTGTTTTGAAACTAGACATGCAAATATCATACAGTCCAGCAATTAATTGTATCATTGGGAACTTATTCCAGAGAAATGGAGATTTAAATTTACACAAAAACCTGTACAGGAATGTTTACAGCAGCTTTATTCTTAATTGCCAACCACTGGAGGCAACCCAGCTGTCCTTCAATGGGCGAACCATTGAAGAAACTGTGGCACATCCACACCACTGAGTGCTACTGATGGAAAGGGAGGGAGGGATGGAGGGGAGAGAGAGAGACAGATTACTGATATATGCATCAACCTGAATGCATCTCAAGGGGATTATGCTGATTTTAAAAAGTCAATTCCAAAAGGCACCATGTATGATATGACATGATTCTATTTACATAACGCTTTTGAAATGACAACGGTACAGAAAATTAGAACAGACTGCCAAAAGCTGCCAGGCAGCCAGTGGTTAGGAACCGAGCGAGGCTGCCGTGGAGGCAGTGGGTGGGGCAGGAAGATGGGCATGGCCACGAAGGGCCGCAAGGAGGGGCCCTGGTGGTGTTGGAACTGCTCTGTATCTTGACTCTGGTGGTGGATTCCTAAAATTCCATAGAAAGAAATACACATGCGGGCATGCACACACACATATAAACTGGTAAGATCTGAATCATGAGTGGATTGCGTCAATGTTAATGTCCTCGTTTTATATTAATGGCATGTTTTATATTAATGTATTTAAACGACCGTGTTCTTTTATATTTTGTATTATGCTCTTTTGTTATTTATCTCATTCATCTTTATTATGAATTTTCAATTTGGATTTTTAATTTTGTGGATATTATTTAATCCTGTTTTTAATATTGTGTTTATTAAGCAAAAATTTACATTTATTTTAACTTTTGTGTTTTTATATGTTTTAATTCTTTCCTATTATTTTTAACTCATATACTGAAGCGTTTCAAAATAAACTGCTGCTGAAATACTTGAAGTGGTGAAAAGTAAGGACCTGAAACCAAAATTACTCTATCCAGCAAAGCTATCATTTAAAATGATAAGCAAAATAAAGAGCTTCCCAGACCAAAAAAACCCCCCAAAAAACAAAAAACAGTTAAACGAGTTCATCCACATACACCAAACAACTATTTCAAGAAATGTTACAGGACCTGCTTTTAGAAGAAAAATAGAGGGAAGAACATAGGTATAAAGAAAGGTAGCAATAAACTAGTACCTATCAATAATAAACTTAAATGTAAACAGATTAAATGCTCCAATCAAAAGACATAAGGTAGGTGAATGGGTAAGAAAACATGACCTATATATGCACTGTTAATAGACCCACCTCAGAATAAATGATCTACACAGACTGAAAGTGAAGGGATGGAAAAATATTTCACGCAAATGGAAACAAAATAAAAGCTGAGGTAGCAGTACTTATATCCAACAAAATAGACTTAAAAACACAGGCCATAAAAAGAGACAAAGAAGGTCACTACATACTAATAAAGAGACTGATCCAACAAGAGGCTATACCCCTTGTAAATATATATACTCCCAATATAGAAGCACCTAAATATAAAAGAAAATTTGGTGTACATTAGGGAGAGGTGGACAGGAATACAGTCAGAGCAGGGGATTTTAACACCCACAGTCATTGATAGACATATCTTTAAGATGCCTCCCCACCCCAAAAAATCAACACACTGAATCAGAGGGATTTAGTTGATACTTACAGAACATTTCATCCCAAAATAGCAGAACATATATTCTTCTCAAGTGCACATGAAACATTCTCAAAGACAGCCCACATGTTAGGACACAAAATGTCTTAACATATTTAAGACCATTAAAATCGTATCAGTCATTTTTTTTGGATCACAATGGTATGAAATTAGGAATCATCTGCAATTAAAAAAAAACAACTTTAAAAACATTCAAAAACATGGTGGCTAAACAGCATATTCTTCAACAATGAATAGGTTAACAGTGAGATCAAGAAAGAAATCAAAAGTTAACTGGAAACAAATGAAAATAAACACATAGCAACCCAAAATCTATGGGACACAGCAAAAGCAGTCCTGAGAGGGAAGTTCATAGTAATTCAGGTCTACCTCAAAAAGCAAGAAAAATCTCAAATAAACACTCTAACACTACACCTAAAAGAACTAGAAAAAGAACAACAAACAAAGCCCAGAGTCAGTAGAAGGAAATAATAAAGATTAGAACAGAAAAGAATGACATAGAGACTAAAAAAGTAATACAAAAGATCAATAAAACCAAGAGCTGGTTCTTTGAGAAGATAAACAAGATTGAAAAGCATTTAGCCAGACTCATCAAAAAAGAGAGGAGCCAAATAAATAAAATGAGAAATAAAAGAGGGAAAGTAATACCTTGACATTACAGAAATAGAAGGGGTTGTAACAAAATACTATGAACAAATATATGCCAACAAATTCCCCAAACTGGGTAAAGTGAATAAATTCCTAGAAATATACAATCTTCTAAAACTGTATCAGGAAAAATCAGAAAACCTGAATAGACCAATTACAACTAATGAAATTAAAGCAGGATTCAAAAAACTTCTGCAAACAAAAGTCCTGAACCAGATGACTGCATAGGTGAATTTTACAAAACATTCAAAGAATGATACCTACTCTTCTCAAACTATTCCAAAAAATTCAACAGGAGGCAAGACTCCCAATCTCCCTTTACAAGGCCAGCATTATCATACTTTCAAAACCATATAAAAACACTACAAAGAAAGAAATTTATAGGCCAGTATGCCTGATGAACAAAGAGGCTAAAATCCTCAAAAAAATAAAAAAATTAGCAACCCAGAACCAACAATACATTAAAAAGATCATACATCACGATCAAGTGGGATTTATTTTTGGGATGCAAGGTTGGCACAATATTCACAAGTCAATAAATGTGATATCTCACATAAAGAAAAGAAAAAAAAAATCATATGATCTTATCAACTGATGCACCAAAAATAAGCATATGATAAAAAAATAAAAATCCAGAACCCATTTATAATAAAAACTCTCAGCAAGGTGGGAACAGAAATGGGGGAGGGACTGAGCTATGCATGTGTGCTGCCCTGGCAACTGGGACAACAGGTACAGGATCCAGCAAAACAAAGAAGTGTGAGGGCGAGGGACGTGATCGGATGGAGGACGTGATCGGATGGAGGGACATTCCCTTCCATCCGCGGCTGCTGCGTGGGGGATGAGGGATTCGTGGGAGCAGTCTTTAAATAGCAAGGCAAAGGGAAACACCACGTGCTTTGCAGCCTCCTCCCCTCACTGGTCGGGCAGAGGAAGCTCAGGCTCCCAGGCCAGTAGGAAACCATGTGATCTGGGGAGGTTCCTGGTACACCTCCCCAGCGCTCCACGTCCTGCCTGTAGTGCCACAAGTGCAGAAGAGAGAAGGGGAGGGGGCCCAGGCTGACAAACCCTGGGCGTCTCATGGCCACGTGGCAAACCGCACACACCTCCACCACAGAAGCCAGGCCCAGCCTGCGGCCCACACGCACTCCAGCATGGGCCCTGACAGCAGGGCTGCCGCAGCCTGTCCTGCGGTTGCTCCTGCCAGGCCTGGCTCTGCAGGCCTAGGGGATAAGAGGAGGGGCCTTGAACCCACTATGACCAGAAGCATGTTTCAGCCACTTGTGTCTTCCCCAAGGATGGTACTTTAAAAGCGAAAGGGAATTTTGGGTGCAACCTAGGGCCTACCTGGCCTAGCAGAGGGTGATAGGGTTGTTTTTATGATTGTGCCTTATTTGCCAGGGAATGGGTTTGGGGGCAGAAACCAGCTGTCTTTACTTCAAATTGCATGCTTAGAAGATCCCTTTTTCCTTTCCACCAAACTCTGTCTGGAGTTTTTCTTGGTAGGCGATGGGCAGGATCCCCAGCCAGTCTCACCCTCAACTGGCTGGGTTCAGTAATAGAAAATGGCGACCCATATAGGACCCTAGCCAGCTGTGGCAGGTCAACCGCCCTGAGGAGTAGGACTGTGGAGTTTCTCAGTTGCTAGGAAATTCTCAGCATGGCTACTGGAGGTGTTGGCTGCTTAAACATGCCTGGCAGGTTGAAAGGAAACAGGTCTGGGAAGGGAACACACTCTGGGAAGGAGGAGGGGTCACCCGAGTTCTAGGACTGCAAACCAGCGCTCAAGCGAGAACTAGATGGGCTTTGGGCAGGCCACTGCTTAAGGTCACTCTGTTGGAATAATGGAGTTGTGGATGGAGTCGCGGATGCCAGTTTTCTATGTTTCCAGGTTATCTGGGTTCTCCCGGTCAAAGGGTTCGGCCTGCTGTGTATTTGGGCCGGCAGGGGCTGTTCGGGGTTGGCTCCTGGAGGGCGCCCCGGATAGAATTTTAGCATACTGGGGCACAGGTATTACCCAATATCCAAGGAGGTACTGGTTTATTATTATAATATTTTGTAGCCTATGTACGTTTTGCATTGTGGGGAAAGGTGGCCCTTGCATGGTTCACTAAGTTACCATACCACCATGCACTTGAAACAGTACTGCCAACAGTCAGACGAACGGAACAAAACCTGTTGTGAAGGCATTTATGTCATTGCATAATAGGATTTTACTAGAAACAGAGGTCCACTTCATGGTGCAGAGAAGGGAAGAGACCTTGAAACCTCTTCTGGATAGTACATAGGAAGAACAGAAGAACGAGGAAATAGGCCTCAATAATCCCCTGAACCCAGGGGACACAGGGTTAGTAGCAGGAGAACCCCCTCCCCGTTGCCATCCCCACCACAAGCTACCTCTGAAATAGAGCTCAAAGAGGCCACAGCCCCACCCCAGTAGGACAAAGGATGGGTCTCCCCCTCAAAGACCCATCAGGGCACCCAATCTGGCCAGGGAGCCTCCCAAATCAGAGCAAGCCAGTTCTTTCTGTGGCAATGCCCTATGGGCAGGGTAACTCAGGAAGGCCTGCCTGCTGGCTACTATTGGGCCCATCCTCTGTTCTCCAATTTAGACTTACTGAATTGGAAGAGCTCCAACCCCTCATATAGGGATGATCCTCAGAGAATGGCAGATCTTATCACCTCTATTTTTAACACTCATCATCCAACATGGGCAGATGTGCAGGCTCTCTTTAATATCTTGTTGACTGCAGATGAGAGAGACTGGTTATAAATAAGGCTAACAAAGGGGACCAACGTCTCCACCAAGAGAAATCTAATGGGATCCCTGACCCAGCTGGGGCAATTTCCTTGACAGAGCCTAAGTGGAACCCAAATGAAATGGGGGCCTAGTCTTCCTGGACATTACCAAAAGTTCATACTGGAAGGGCTTAAGAAAGGGGTGGCCAAGCAAAAGCCTATGATATAGGCCTTTCAACAAAAACCAAATGAAGACCCTTGCAAATTTTTAGAAAGGATCTGTGAGGCCTATATAAAGCACACTGATGCTGACCCACAGGCACCAGAAAATGTGAGAATGGTAAACATGACTTTAATTGTGCAAAGCACCCTACATACTAGAAAGAACCTCCAGGGTTCAGGCAGGGGATGGGGAATGAATCCCTCTCAGATGGTGGGTATAGCTTTAAAGTCTACAGTGCCCAGGAAGCAAGGACAATAAAGCAGGCCATGGTGTTCTTAGAAACAGGGTGGTGAGACCACAGGAAGAGGCAGGACCCTAAAGGAAAGAGGAGCCCCACAGGCGCCAATCAATGTGCCTATTGCAAGGAGCAAGGTCACTGGAGAAAGGAGTGCCCAAAGCTCCAAAAGGAAAGCAAAGATGAAAACCCTCGCCAAGAAATACTAAAAAGGCGACAAGAGTGATGATGAATGAGAAGGCCCAGGGGCCCCCTTGGACATCCCCCGACTTATTACTATTTTCCCATAGGAGCCCCAGGTACAGGTAATGGTGGGGAACAAGCCAATTGATTCCCTTATAGATACAAGAACTATACATTCAGCGTCGAATACAAAATTAACTAAGAAACGTTCAGATGCAGTAATGGTTACTGGAAAGACTGGACGATTACAAAAACAGGTGTTCCTTCAACCCCTAGGATGCCAGCCTTGGGATCAGAGGACTGTACATAGTTTTCTCTACATGCCAGATGGTACCATTCCATTGCTGGGTTGAGATTTACTTTGCAAACTGCACAAATAACTTTTTCTCCTGAAAAGCGGCAATTATGTATAGAGGTTCCACTGGAACATGCTTTCCAGCTCCAGGTGCTCCTGACTTGCCCAGAAGGTCCTGGAGATGAGCTCTTCCCACCTGAGATCTATAAACAGGTCGATCAAACCATCTGGGTGGATGAAACTCCAGGTTTCCTAGTGGATTCATAGGTTTCCTTACAGCACTCAGCACAAAACAGACCATCATTCAGTTCGGAAATCTCCCAGAAGGTTGGACAGGCACTGCAAATGCTACGGAAACTACATGCATCTTGGAGAACTCAATCTATGGGAAAGAGTGAGAAAAAGAATCACACATTAAAGAAGACCCTGGCAAAAAAAAAAAAAAAAAAAAAAAAAAAAAAAAAAGCTGGGAAACATATTTGAAATGGGACCAGGCACTCCCTTTGCTCCAAATTAGGGTGGCATTCAGAAGTGGGCTTGAGGTAAGCTCTTTTGCAATAGTTTATGGGAGACCTTTCCAAATCTGTTTTAGGAACACCCCCTTTAGCTTTGGGGCACAAGTCAAGAATTAAACAATATATACAACATTTAGGGCAAACACTAACCATTTTGTGCAAGTTTGCTCATTGCAGGTCCACCCATTCCAGCTGGGAGACCGAGTCTCACTAAAGACCTTGAAGACTCAGGTCCCTGAGCAGCAGCTGGCCGAACAACGGCGCTGATGATGTCCTACTAACAACACACTCTTCTCTAAAGCTCACAGGAATTAAGCCTTGGACCCACCATACATATATAAAACAGGCACCATGTGAAGAGGATTTGAATCCTGCTGCTGTGATTGATGCTGGAAAGGAAAACTGGACCTGCACTACAGAAGGAGATTCGAAAATTCTCTTTCACAAGGAGACAGTGACCCCCAATGCAAAGCGACAATGTTCCTTCATTTTACTTATGCGTTTGCAAATCGAGGGACTTTTGGCTACCTGATCTGAATGGCTAAAGAAAGTTGTGAGAGTTTTAATTTGAAGTGAAAGCAACCTCCGTTCTTGGTGCTCTGTGATCTTATGGCGACTAAGGGGAACTTAGCTGTTTTGTCTCTGCCATTTGGCTTCATGCCATTTGGACCTCGTCTGGGTCATCTGTGGTACCTGCTGGGGTGAGAGAATGTCTCTGCCATCTGGGCTTCTTGCCATCTGGGCCTTGTAAAGGTTGTCTGCAGTACCAGCTGGGGCGAGAGCAACAAATATATGTTGTTTGGCCTTTGTGCACCTTGGAACTAGGGGAGGTCACCTGTGTGACCTGTTAGTGGGACCAGTTGGTGTGAGACAAGATTCTGAGGCTACTTCCAGTCCTTCCCCACCTTTTTGTTCTGAAACCATCCTTACTTTGGCTGTTTTAAAAACAAACTGAGGTTTCTAAAAGTCAAAACTTCACAATAAGTTGGAAAGTAGAGTAACAAAAGATATAAAGCATAGAAATAATTGTGAATATTGGACGTTAGTGCAGCTAACTGTCCTCCAAGTTTGTTTTCACTTAGAAGCTGACGTGAAGGATTTGTCAAATTGTCAATGCTTGATGCCACTCCAGCAAAGGCACTCACTGCAGCTGAATGTTTTCTCAAAAGAGTCTTGCAGACTTGGAGACGGTGTAGGCCCCACTTGAGAAGCCCACCTGCATCTCTGCCTCCTAAGGCCCAGTGGTTTGACCGGACTAGATGGATGAGTTGGTGAAGGAGGGGGTGGCCTACTGGCTTTGTTTTGAAACTGCCTTTCTTTTCTGCCTTAATGGTTTGGACAGAAAAGGTCCAGAAGGGTTAAAAGGGGTGGCACTGTAAGAGTCCCTACCTTGGTTATTTAGTTATTGTGATTCTGATTGAGCCTTCTAACCCTCTTGCAAAATCTGTTGCCTCCAGAATATGACAAGGATACCAACTTCTACAACAGTGCCATCCTTTGGACATCATGCATGCCACCTTCCAGGGACAACCAAGTGACCGGAACCTTGCACAATCCTTCTCCCTCGTGTGAAGACTCCCCTCCACTCCAGACCCCGTGTTAGGGACCTCTGAACCAGGGAGTAGGTACAACTATGCCCTTCACCAGCAGGAAGTAGTTATGGAAGAACCAGGCTGTCATCCATTTGCCCTTGCATGATTACAAGTGTCCAGAGTGTTAAAGAAGGGAGTTGTAACGAGGGACATGCCTCCCAAGAAATGGGGGAGGCGTTGAGCTGTGCCTGTGTGTTGCCCCAGCAACTAGAACAACACATGATCTGAAAAAAAAGAAGCAAGTTCGAGCTAGAGAGGTGACTGGATGGAGGAACATTCCCTCCCATTGACTTCTGCTCCTCAAGGATTATGAGGGAAGGTCTTTAAATAGCAGAACACACACACACAGCTGTGAGCTTTGCAGCCCCCTCCCCTGCTGGTCAGACAGGGGAGGCTCAGGCTCCAGGCCAGCAGGAGACTGAGCCTAGGGAGGTTCCCGGTGCCCCTCCCCAGCGCTCCAGAGCCTGCCAGGAGCACAGCGAAGTGCAGGAGAGAGAAGGGGAAGCAGCCTCGGCCGGCCAGGCAGCAAATCCCATGCCCCTCTGCCACAAGAGAATCCCAGCCCATCAGCCATGAGAGAGCAGCTCACACACACTCCAGCAGGGGCCCTGACGGTGGAGCTCCTGCAGCCGGTCCTGTGAGGCCTGCTGCCAGCCCGAGCTCTGCAGGCCGGGGAAACAGAGGAGAAGTCTCGAACTAGTCATGACCCCAAGGATGCTTCTGCCGCCTGCATCTCTCCCTAGGACAGTACTTTAAAAGGGAAAAGAAAAGGGTATTTTCGGTGTGGCCCAAGGCCAGGCAGGCCTAGCAGAGGGCGGTAGGGTTGTTTTTGTGATTGTTCCGTATTAGCCAGGGAATGGGTTTTGGGGCAGAAACTGGTTGTCTTTATTTCATATTGCATGCTTAAATAAAAGTTTCCCTTTCCCTTTCACTGAACTGTTTTTGGAGTTTCGCCAGGTAGGCAGTAGGATCTGCCCCACAATGGCTGGATTTGGTAACAATACCGCAACATAAAACGGCCTCATATGAACAACCTACAGCTGACATCATACTCAATGGGCAAAAACTCAGAATGTTTCCCTTAATATCAGAAACAAGAGAGGGATGTTCATTTTCACTACTCTTATTTAACATAGTACTGGAAATCCTAGCCACAACAATCAGACAAGAAGAGGAAGAAATAAAATGTATCCATATTGGAAAGGAAGAAGTGAAAGTGTCATTATTTATAGATTACATGCTATGTACAAAACCCTCAAGATTCCACCAAAAAACTACTAGATCAATAAACAAACTTGGCAAAGTAGTAGATTGCTGACATTTTTATACAACAGTAATGGGCTATTAGAAAGAGAAACTAAAAGTGAGGGACCTGGGAATAAATTTAATCAAGGAAGTTAAAGACCTATGCTTGGAAAACTATAAGACAATGAAGTAAAAAAATAAGGAAGCTACAAATAAATGGAAGCGTATACTTGGTCATGGTTTGGAAGAATTTACATCATTAAAATGTCCATGTTACCTAACGAATCTATAGATACAACACAATTCCTACTAAAATGCCAATGGCCTATTTCACAGATCTAGAACAAATATTCCCAAAGTTTATATGGAACCAAAAAAGACCCCAAATAGCCTCAGCAATCTTGAGAAAGAAGAGCAAAGTTGGAAGTGTCCCTCAACTTAGGAAGGAAGAGACTCTGATGCCTAAATCTAGAAAGGGGTCTTCAGCATGCAGTTGCTGGGGCCGCTCCACCTCCTCGGTGCCAGGACTGCCTGCCTGGCCCATCAGGGTTCTTCTGCCAGCTCCAGTTGGACAACGGCTTGAGAAAAATTGTAGTCCGGGACCCGGAAGCTTTCAATTCATCCCCTACTTACTCCTGGAAGTAGAATCTAGATACTCAGCTGGGTGGAGACACTGACTGTGTAGGCTTAAGCTAATGTGTGCTTGTGTCTTAGTTTTTAACAAAAATAAAGCTTAAAAAGTAAAATTTTTATTAAAGCCTATAAAACAAGGATATAAAGAAAATATATTTGTACAGCTATACAATGTGTTTTGTGTTCTAAGCCATGTATTACTATGAAAGAGTTGAAAAGTTAGAAAAAAAAATTTGTTTATAAAGTTACAGTAAACTGAGGTTGATGTATTTTTTTCAGGAAAAAATGTTTATACATTTAGAGTAGCCTAAGTGTACAGTGTTTATAATAAAGTCTACAGAGGTTAGTGTACAGGAATGCCCAGGGCCACCTCGTTCACTCACCTCTCACTCAGTGGCTCACCCAGAGCAACGCCCAGTCCTGCAGGCTCCATTCATGGTAAGTTCCCTACGCTGGTGCACCACTTTTGATCTTTTGTACTGTATTTTTACTGTACGTTTTCAATGTTTTGCTTATAGTATTCAGTATGGTAACATGATGTACAAGTCTGCAGCTTAGGAATGATAGGCTAGACTACATGGCCGAGGTGCGTAGTAGGCTGCACCTTCGAGGTTTATGTAAGCACTCCCTATGATGTCTGCACAATGACAAAATGGCCTAACACCACATTTCTCAGAACACATCCCAGTAATAGGCAACGCGTAACTGCAGATACGCCTTGCAAGAAGTGTTTTTAAAAAGTTCTTCAGAGGAAAGGAAAATAATATAGGTCAGAAACATAAAGAGCATTTTTGAAAAAGGAAAAACTAATAAAATTTTTACTTAATTTATCTAACAGAAAACAATTTGTTTGAAACAAAAGAAACAATGTATTTCATTATATAAGCTTTTCTACACTCACTAATGTATCTTTATACATAAGTAAAATGAATGACAGCAATGACACAAAGGACAAAGGTAAGGAATTAGAATTATTTTGTTATTATAAAGTATTCACATTACTCGTGAAATAGTAGCGTTATTTGCAAGTGTACTTCGATTAATTGTATTGGGTTGACCAAAAAGCCTGTTATATTTTTTCAGTAAAATAAAAGCCGTATTTTTCATTTTCACCAAAACTTTATTGATTTGGATATTCTGAGTATGTCAGCTATTTCCTCCTATTGGCTCCTAATGGGCAGAGGCCAGAGGTGCTGCTAAACACCTTCTAATGCATAAGACAGCCCCACAGAAAGAGTTATTTGACCACAACGTCAGTGGTACCAGGAAACTTCGAAAACCACTCTTGCCATATTCAATCAGTCACAGCACCTTCACCAAATTTCAAAAATCTTTTGGATTTCAGTTGCATTTTTACCTTTCTTGAAATAATAAAGCAAAATACACTGAAAATGTTGCATATGTTCTTCCATCCTCCCATATTAAGCACATCCAGCCATATTAAGATGGCTAAAAAAAGTTCACTGATTTTGGCAAGTTGTTTTATTTTTTTTTACTGCACACTGATATGACAGCTTCACAATACAATCTAACTAAACTGTTTTGAATGAAGTTAAAGACAACTAAGCTCTATTAGAGTCATCATACAGAAAAAATATAACAGATTTTTTGGTCAACACGATATACCCTGATATTAAACCTGGCTTTTGGGGCAATGTTACTTTAGGAAAGGTTCTTAAATGTCACCCAAAAAGTATTAATTTACAACTGGCTTCCCTCAGGGGTGCTGCACAAAAGAAGCCCAAAAGATCTCAAGAATTTATCCGCTTGGACAATTCAAATAAAAAAGTACAACTACCACATGTGGAACTTACGTTTGGCCCCAACAATAAGGCCAAGTAAAGGGGAAAGGAACACAAGATTCCCAACGGAATTTATTAAATGAAGAACAGGAAGGACTTCCCAACTTTGGGAGATGCTGATAAGCCGCTGGGTCAGGTCACTCGGCTCAAGGGCTAATCCAGTCGCCGACCCCACCCTGCCAGCAGGTGATAATTAAATCCAGGGTCCCAGGTCAGCAGAATTCAGGTGACAGAGCCACCACCTCCCTCCCTGAGATGCTGGACCCCCGGCCTTCCATTCCAGCCAACAACAGCTCTGAGGAGACTAATCTCATTCTGAGGGAAACGAAGCAAATCATTTCTCAACCACACACAGTCCCAGGCGCTTGCGAAGTGAACGTGTTTCCGCTTCTCTGGTACCTCTTTATTAGGGTCACTGGGCCTTCCCTAGTGACCCTAAATCAGTGCACTCAGTTTTGCCAGCAGGGCAGAGGCGAGGCACCAAGAATTACAGAGCAATCATAAGGTCAAATAGCTGGAATTCAGAGGACGAGAGGACAAGAATTGACACAGAGGAATAAGAAGCTGATGAAACCCAAAGCCTGCTCATTTCAGCTCACCCCACAAGGGTTTGAAATCCTTCAGAGTTTTCACACAATTTACAAATTCATTTCAAGTGGCTTAAATACAATTTATATGGAATAATCACATTCTTCACAAGAATTTAAAAGAACACTATACAAACACAGCTGAAAGCTACTGTGATTTCCACCGGCGTCAGGCACTTTCCAAACACCTTAAGAACCAAAGCAAAGCCCAGGAGGACGACACTGCAGTCCACTCATCGCTACCAGCTGCTACCAGCTGGGGAGCTTTCACACCTGCCAGTTTCCCGGGGGAGCCGCTGTGCTGAGACCTCATTTCCGTGTGTCTACGTGACAAGGGGGGCTGAGGACAGTGAAAGCCTGTTCTGTGGGTGCTGATCAGAACAGGTTTCAATGGTGAAAATGCCCCAAGCCTCTGGTTAGTTGGGACAACATATTGCCTCTTTACAGCGGTTCCCACTTTATGCAAGAAAACTGCCAGAAGCTACACTGAAGAGTCCTGCTCACTTACCTCGGTGAAGGTGCGGAGCAGGGCGTTTCCACAACCTGAGTCTTTTTGGCATCCAGCGTCTGGAAGTGGGCTATGAGAGCTTCAAGATCTTCCTAAAGGCAGACAAGCAATCACACATGAGACGTTTCCTTCAACCCTACTGTGGGGTCAGAAGCCGGGGGCAGCCTTCCCTCTGTCCACGGGCAGAATCTGGCCCGTGCAAAAGTACTCAGAGCTTCACCTTACAGGTGGTTTTCCTGGAAGTGTGGATGCTTCCACATATCATCCCATTCCGAACCCACACACTCCCCCCAAAGGACACCCCCAAACGCTCTTCTACTTAGACAAGCCCACACTGACTTCACACCTCCCAGAAACCCAACACTGGGCAACACCGCCGGCCTGCTTTGCTGTCTGCACAGCGGTATCAGAGATGAGAATGCCTGCTCACTTATTTTTTATTTTGTTTCCATGTCCCTCCCACCAAAAAAATAAGAGCTCCAAGCAAAACTTGTCAGCTTGGAACGGAGCCTGCACCGAGGGCCTGGCAACTATGCGCTGCAGCCACTCTGTGGAAGAGGGTGTCTTTTTACAACTGCAAACAGCACAGAAGATTTGCCTGCCCAGCTGGGAGCATTGGAACCTGGTCTTCCTATCCCCCTTCCAGTGCCTGTTTTCCTCTATGAAACACCCCCCTGCTCCCCGAAAGGCGATGCATGACCTGTGTCTTGTGGGGAAAGCCCCTTCTATACTTATTCTCTACTTCAAAGCTCAGCTCACGCTGGGACCTGGGATATATCCCCTGCCTCCTTCCCTACCGCCCGCCCTGGCGAAATACACACACCCAAAGCTCTCTTTCCCTGGTTCCACATGCCACACTGAAGGTAGGTGAGGTGGCCTTCCTGCACCTACAGACACTTGCAGACCATTCTTCCTTCCTCTCCAGCCTCATTTCCCACCCTGCCTCCTCACCCCAGGCTTCACTGGCTTCCTCTCAGTTCCTTTAATCAGAACACATTCCCTTGGCCTGAAGAGCCACTTCCCCCCCTACTTCACCGTGTATACCACCTTCACACTCTGGAACTGGGTGCTCATTACTCTCCAGCACTTTTTTTTTCTTTTTTTAAATTATTGATTTTAGACAGAGAGAGGGAGAGAGGGAAGGAGTGGGGGGGAGGAAGAGGGAGGAAGGGGGAAAGAGAAAGATCGATCTGTTCCACTTATTTACGCATTCATTGGTTGCTTCTTGTATGTGCCCTGATCAGAGATGGAAGCCAAACCTTGGTGTATCAGGATGACGCTCTAGCCAACTGAGCAGCCTGACCAGAGCCTCCAGCACTTCTTCACATTTTTACTGCAAATATAGAAGAAGGTCCTCGAATAACATCATTTTGTTTTATCACTATGAGATGCCACAGGACATTGCCTCTTATTTGTATCAATTAGCCTAGAGTAAGAGTGGTTTCAGTACAGAGCCACACCTTAGAGATATCATGGGTTCAGCTTCAGAGCACCAAAATAAAGCAAGTATCGCAATAAAGCGAGTCATAATCTTTTGGCTGCTGGAGGGTCTTACCTTCTGTTCGTTAAAAAAAAACAAAACAAAAAAAACGAACACAACTCAGCATCTGTCAAGCACAATAACACAAGGTTTGCTTGTAGTATGTCAGTTCTTTTAAAGTCACAGAAGCCATGGATGGGGCTAAGTGAAGACTTGCTGTCCTGTTTTCACAGTTTTCAGTTCCATGTGAATCGTATCACACTGAATATTCTCTTCCAACCTGGTTTCTGCTACACAGCTGGGCACACTGAATCCACTCACTTTCACCGTGGCAGAGCTACCACTCCGTCACAGCTTCTCTATCCAGCCTGTTCATGAACACCCATCACAGTCGATGCCTCTTTCTTTATATAAACACTACTGCTCTGGCCATTCTTGTACCTGTCCTTGTGTAGCTGGGGGAAGTTCTTCCAAGGTAAACCTTCTGGTGCGTAACTACTAGGCTGCCGCTTCCACCAGTCTAGAGGTCGACAAGGTAGGGTCCAAAGTGGCCCTGCCAATTTTCGCCCTCACAGCGCCCTACGAAAGAGTCCATTATCCTGCTCCTTCTACGTGGGTACTTAGTTACATAACTGCTGTCCTGCTGAGCGTCCTCCCCAATGCCAAACCTGCTGCACTGAGTACTCAAGACAAATTACTGAATGACTGGGATTTTACAGAAAGACCTGGAAGGGCGGGGCGGTGGGGAGGCTGTTGGGAGTCACAGGTCGCTCAGAGCTCCTGGTCCAGTGTCTTTCACCTCAGAAATTATCTTCCTTAAGGTGGATAAGGCGAGAGGAACGAGAGGCTGGAATGAGGAGCGGCCGGTGTGAACGCAAGAGCGGCCCTCCCCGTCCTCGTGCGCGCCGGCAGTAACGCCTTCCTGTATGCACTTAACCCCAGTCATCCGAGGACAGGTGTTTCCACCGGTGTCTCCTGTTGGGAGCAGGCTTGGTTGCTCCACTCACGGACGCCACAGGCTCTGCCTTCCGGCGACCCGCTTCAACTCCCACTTCTTGCCACTTCACAGCTGTGTGGCCCTCACAGGTGTATTCGCATTTCCTAACTGTCGGATGGGAACGCCAAAGCTACCTAACTCACCTGCTTGTGAGGATAGAGCCCAGAGGGCACAGTGCCTGGCACACAGCAAACACTCAGGAACCACGATCAACTGTCCTGATAAAAGCCATGATAAGCTTAGCGAGCCAGAGAACAAGTCTATAGAAAGCAGGACGCTCTCAGCTCAGCCCTGCTCCACTTGCAAACCCTACTGAGAAAAAGTGAGAGGGAGGAAGACAGGAAAGAGGGAGAGCAAGAAGAGAGTGGTGACAACCATCAACTTTTACGGGAAGCCCCAAGAGTTCCACTCACTGCACGGACGCCTACGCGGTAACACTCTCCGTCTCTTAAAGATGAGCAGTGATCACTTCTCGACCTTTTGGTTAAGATCAAGTGTAGTATCTGTTCTTATCAGTTTAAAGATGAGCAGTGAGGCTCTAATGTTAAGCCCTTGGTCCCCAGATCACGCCCCTTGCAAAGCCGCGCCCGCTCATCCCCGGGTCCTCCTGTACTAACTCCCCGCCGCTCCAGCACCAGGCCGAACGAATCCCGGCAACGCCCGGGACACAGGAGCAAGGTAGCACGCGCACAGCCGGACGCGCGCTCGGGGTCCGTCCCGCCAGCCCCGCTCACCTCCTCCTTCCGTGAGCGCTTGGACACCTTTTTTCATTCTGGCGACCGTCTTCTCTGCGCCCGGCCCTCCTCCCTCTTCTTTCCTGTCTTGCCCGTTACGCGGGTTTTGAATGGCTCCCGTCCTCCTAGGATACAGAGCGGCGCACGGCGCGCCGGAAGTACGTTTTCGGGGCCGGGCGCGAAAGTGTGTCACTTCCTGGAGCTGCGCGCTGCAAAGTGCTCATTTTTTAGAGTATGGAAATAGCTGCTAGGGCCTCCTGCTCAGGCTCGTGGAGGCCGAGGAAGTGGCTGGCCCCGCGCAATAGTAGGGCACCTGCGCTTGCTCCCCGCCACCCTGCTTCCTTAGTCTTCCTTGGGGTCCGGGCGGCGCAGAACTTGCAGTTCTTCTGCTGTACAACCTGGCCTTGAAGGCTGTCTTTCGTGTTTATTGCATTTGGGCTATTTTCTTAGCCCTAGAATGACCCAATTGGGTGACTCCGTAAGGGAGCCACATATTTTCTTTCTACGTTGGACCCTTTTGGTAAGAAAATGATGTGGTTTCATCCCCAGAAAGATGTTCAGGCACTTAGGAGGACTTGCGGACCCTAAGTGTAGACAATCCCTTCTCCCACACAACACTGCCAATGCTGTTAGGTGCGGAGTATGAAACTGGGAAAGTTGGCATTCAGCTGCCGGACACTACCAGAACCAGTAACTAGAGATGAGGATTGATATTTATGGATGCTTTTATTCAGATGCTGGTGATCTGAGAAGATGGCGAGTTGTATACCCTAAAAACCTCATCTCAAGCCAACCCTTTTGTAAGGTGAAGGAAAGGGTAGGTAAGGGGTTGGGGAAAGGTTAATCAGATAAGAGTTGCAATCAGGTGAGGAATTTCATAGTATTTCTTCATCTACTAATCAACACTTACTTATTGCATCAGGGACATAGGCTCAGATACCATCTCTGTTGCTTGCAGACTTTCCTGGGGCACAAAGGTTGAATTGCTTGTCCACCTCCTGGAGTTGCGTAGGTCATGTGTTCCAGTTCTTGGAGTAATAGCTTTCCACGTGAGTTAATCACTTAAGCCTATGAACTGTAACTCAAACTAAAATCTTTAACTCTTGAGTTCCCCTTATCAGGAATATTGTGCTGAACAAGCAAACCTCAGCCCTGCCATTCTGCTTTCTATGTGACTTTCCTCAATGTCCTGTGTTAGAGGACCTGTTTCTTCATGATAGAACAAGACTAATGACATCTCCCCTCCAAGGGTAGTCAGCTTATCAAACTTGAGGACATAGAGCCGCCCACTAGGAAATTGTATTGGAGTATTTGACTGAAATATCTTTTTAAAAATTTTTTACTTATTGATTTTGAGAGAGAGGGGAAGGGAGGGAGAAAGAAGGAGAAACATCAATGCATGAGATACATCAATTGGTTGCCTCTCGCAAGCCCCCAACTGGGGACCTGGCCCAAAACCCAGACATGTGCCCTGACTGGGAATCAAACTGGCACCTTTCAGTTCCATGCTGGCACTCAATCCACTGAGTGACACCAGCCAGAGCTGAAATATCGTAATAAATGGGAAAACAGTGTGCAGGATATAGAATACTATGGTTTAAACATAGCAGATTGAAAATGATTGTCATTGATTAGAAGATGGTTTCTAGTCAAAGAAATAGGACAAATTAAGGACAATCACAAGAAAATGTTTGGCAAAAGGAAAGCACAAATAAAAAAATACCTAGCTTCTTACTTTGTAGGTGAACTGCCACAGAGCTCAGCCTTAAAGAAATTACCTTCGATCTAATTAATCTACTAATCATTGAACAGGCAGGGAGAAATGCTTTTCCACACAACTACAAGCTTATCCAGAAATCTTGTTCTCTAAAAAGAAAATGAAATTTGGGGATATTATGGGAAGAAAAGGTAGAATAGGATTCTGACTGCCTTTCAGAGAATAGAACACCTGTGATGATTTTAAAAACAAAACAAAAAAAAAGAAGCAGATAAAGATGGAGCTGCAGAATTTCACAGAAACCTGGCTCCAGACATAATCGTCTTTGACAATGAGCTATAAAAGACCAACCCTGACTATTGACCTGCAGAAATATCACTCTCCTCCTAGTGCAATATGACTTTAACAACATGCCTAATTCTTTTATACTTTTCTAAGAATATAAGGTAACCCTGAGGCAATGCACTTGAAGCAAGATGACCCTTCAGTCACAGCACATTTGTCTGCAATACATTACAGAAGTCCCCTCTTAAGGATTGCAAAAGCAGAGCACATTCCCTACTGAAGATTTAGAAGGCTCTGGTGGATGTGGGGCCTCATACTTTTATTACCTGAAAAAATCTTGAAGCTGAATTGGAAGATTCTTGGATTATGTGTCATGGTGATTCACATGTAAGTTGAAATTCTCATGAGAAAGAAAGAGAATAGAACATTAAAAATGAGAGCAGAGTCCTAAAATAGTAAAAAGATTAAATGCAATGTCCTTTTATAGTGAAATTCATATTTTTGAAACTTTAATGGATTATCTTAAGTCTAAATATGCATCATTAACTTTCAGGTGCATTTGTGTGTGGTCAGGCGCTCTCTGCCATCTTCAAGTTGAAATCCAGAAGGGAGAAAAATATTAATAATGGACCTAACTAACTGCTAATTTTCTGTCACCACCAAGAATCACTGTAATTGGAAAGGTGTCTCAAGCATGGTATAGATGAGGTGGTTCTTTACACATTTCCCATATGAAGAGAAAGACTTAAATCTGCCCACCTACTACACAGAATTCTTGGGAGAATCAAGTGAAAACATAGGAAAGCTTAGAAAAAATAAAAAGCAAATTTAAGAGATTCTATGTGATGAAAAATGAGATCATGGTTTGAACTGGCTGACGATCATTTCATTAACTGGATACTACAACGTGTGGACATTGTACCAAGCCACCTGAGATACAAAACAGAAGACCTAGCCACCAGCTTAAAGGTTTCATTCTAATGAGAAAAACATGATATTCTGCAAATGCTTTGTGAATCCAAGTAAGGAATATTGAAAGAGGGAGAAGGAAAAAAGGAAAGGGAAGAGAAGGGAGAGAGTGAAATCAAAACCATTATTTCACATATTGTGTCCAGTTTTCTAATTGTCTAAAGCAAAAGGATAAATTCGGTCTCATCGCTCCAGTGTGGACAAAAGCAACATTCTCTTCGTTGAGGTTAAAGAATGCTGCCTAATGTGCAAATGTTTGGAGATCTTTTTGTTATTTATTTCTAATTTAATTAATTAAAGATATCTAAGAGTTTAGCGTTCTCAATTTCCATTTAAATACAGCTTCAACTGCACCCTACAATTTTTAGTAAGTCGTGTTTTCATTTTCATTCAGATTAAGGTACTTCCTCTTTTGGTTCTTAGACCCCTGGGTTACTTAGAAGTGTGTTATTTAGTTTCCAGGTGTTTGGAGATTTTCTAAAGATCTTGAAATGTAAATTTTTTCTCTGCTTTTATGATGTTCAGTTTCACTAAAATATATTTAAATATAGATTTCTTTTTATTTTGTTTGGGAATTGATAATCTTTGCGAAGCTGTTGATGATTCTTAAAGTTAAGTTGACATTTTTAAATTCTTATAATATCACTGTTTTGGACACCTGGCTCTTTAATCCTGCCTGATCCAGGGACCAGCTCAATTGTCGAGCCCAATCATCTCCTAGCCAACAGCTTAAGCTTTGGGTTCATGCAGTAAGCAGCCCCTTAAATTCCAACTGCCGACCCATGAAAATAGATTGCACCCACTAAAAGGAAATTCTCCCAAAGGGCTTTTCTCTCACTGTTCATCCAATCTCAGGCCACCTGGAGGAGGTCAGAAGTTAATCTTTCACAGAAACACAGTTCTGAAATCTACATTCTGGGCACAGAGCTAACCACATCTTCCTATACTTGGCCACAGTAGTGAATGATGTAATTAATATAAAACATGGAAAATCAACAAACTTCTGTATCAGAATCTGAGGGTTGATATGTTGTAAGAAGGACTCAGAAACAAGATTGGAGAATTGACTAAGTGTTGCCCACTATTTCAAAGACATGCTAGGAAAAATATTCATGTCGTCTAATTTCCAAGTAAGTCAAGATTTTCTGATTATGGGGAGGGTTGAGGAGGGCTAAGGAGAGCAAAGAGGGGAAGTGAGGGACATCTATAATAGTGTCAACAATAAAAAAAAAGATTTTTCCTATTAAAAGCAATTTCTCCAATGGTCACAAGAATACTCTAGAAACTTACTACATCTTAATTATCCATGTGCTGTATCTCCCACTAAATTTTAATCATCAAGCCTTATCCATCTTTTTATCCCTGGAACAAAATGTTGCACTGTTTGTTAAATGCTAATAAATTATACTTTGAATGATGTGGCTCATCACTCTGAAAGGTGAAAGGCTGCCAGTTCGATTCTTGGTCAGGGGACGTGCCTGGGCTGTGGGCTCCGTTCCCGGTCGGGGGGCATATAGAAGGCAACGAGTTATCGGCATTTCTCTCTGACATCAATTTTTCTCTCCCTCTCACTCCCTTCCCCTCTCTCTGAAAATAAATTAAGTCTTTTTAAAAAATAAATGCTTATAAATTATGAATAAACAGTGACTCTATTAAGTCCCCAAATGACTCACAAACTGATGCAGAGAACATTTGTCTGGCATGGTCAGAGGAGGGGAATATTTTAGTTGGATGGATATTTTACTTAGTATAAGTGCTATACACAGATCATTCATTCCAAACACTGAAAGTCTCACACATTTCAAATCAAAACTCAAGTGAGACAGAAATGAATATTTAGATCTAGCAGAGAAACATAGGACTGATGGATAAATTTACAGCTGCTAGAATGAGAGATAAGCCAGTTCTGATGCAACCTGAATAAGATGAAGTCCTGCTTCCCCTACTAATGGGCTTCGCATGAGGTTTGATGGTCTCATTGCAAACCCTTAATTCTGATCCTTAATATCCCCATTAACACATTTGGTGTTGGCTCTCACTGATTTGTTTCTTACCATTTCTTCCCTCCCCTCCTGTTCTGTTTTTCGCTCTAACCTGAGAAGGCCTGGGGTGGACAGAGGGAAATCTTCAGCAATGGGCCCTGGAAACGCTGCCAGTGCTGAGGGGAAAAACATAAG